TGGCGGCTTGTGAAGGCGGCGTTTTTCCTCTCCAGAAGGGAGTTTCTCCCTCTTCTACCTCAGTTAGGATTGTCCGTTGTTGCAGGAGTTCCTCTTATCCAGTTTTCAGTTCTGTCTCAGGGGTAATTTTTCCATGAGTAGTTGTAAATTGGCTGTGTCCACGGGAGGAGGTGAGTTTAGAGTCTGCCTACGCCGCCATCTTGACTTCCTCTCTAGAACCTTGTTCAATGTGAACTCCTGTCCTCTTCTTGCACACAGCCCTCAGGGGCTGAAGTTCCTGGGTGAGCTGCAGACCTCCATCCTTCTGGTGGTTCACAGTGATGTTTCTGACTCTATGTCCCTCCTTATATTGCCCAGTGTGAAGATGAGTCAACTGTGAATTTAAGTGAGGTCTACAGGATGCAAGCCCTCCAGGCAGACATGATAGAGAAGCTGACAGAGTCCATGGTACCAGCCTTTCCAGGTAGAAACATCTCCAATGTCACCACCTTCATGTTCAACTACTCAGCCTTCAGCACATCCCACCAGGTCCTGGACCAGATGTTTACTGGGTGAGTGCCTGCCCCCTCCTCAGCACAGTGGTGATTCAGCCCACAGCCAGCTGTGTGTCTTGGGAATGTCACTGTATCTCTCTGAGACTTATTTTGCTCCTCTGAAAAGTGGGGTGGGAGAGGATCAACTTAGTGTTTTTATAGGGACTAATGGGATCAGCCAAAGCAGGTGCTTACCCCATGCCTGGCTCTGCAGAAAGGGCTGTGGTACATGCTGTGGTTGTCCATGGTGATTATTTCTCTCTCCCCCGTGAAAAGTAGTCGGCCTCACCCATCACTGGGACGCGGCCTCCCTGAGTTTGAAAAGCACATAGAAAGCACCCTGTCAAGGAGTTTGAGATTCCATCCAGCTGGTCCTGGTCCTTGCCCTTGGTGTAGCCAATTAGGGATCTCCAGGGCAGCAAAGAGGTCCCAAGCCCACTCAGGTATCTGGGATGGTTCTGGTTGGAGTTCATTCATTCAACCGTGTATATTAAGCACCTACTCCATGCAAAACTTTTGGAGACACATAGCATAACACAGTGAATGAAATAGACACAATCCCTGCATCTCAATTCTAGTCTGAGAGTCAGACATTCACACTTGACATCATAACATGTTCTGTCCCTCGTATGTTCCATGGGATGCCCTTGTAGCATCTTTAACGTTTGGAAGCATCTTCCAATATTCTGACTAGGCTGATGGGCCACAGGACCACTTAAAAAAGTGAATGTAGGGGCCGGCCCTGTGGCCTAGTTGTTAAGTTCAGCGCACTCTGATTCAGCAGCCTGGGTTCACAGGTTCAGATCCTGGGTGCAGACCTACACTATTTGTCAGCTATGCTGTGGTGGTGACCCACATGTAAAGTAAAGGAAGACTGGCACAGATGGTAGCTTAGGGCTGATCTCTCTCAAGCCAAAAAAAAAGAGTAAGGTTTGCAACAGATGTTAGTTCAGGGCAAATCTTTCTCAAAAAAAAAAAAAGTAGTGTTTGGGTCCAGAAGTAAGGCCTCCTGTCTCTACAGAACAGGATAGGGGGAGAGTAGAGGGGTTGCAGATGGGGTGGCAGAACGATGCATCTAACTCACCTTTTGATTCCATAGAGAGGGCTGAGGACTGGTGGCTTCCACTCCAGGAGGACAGGAGTCAAAGAGATCTGTGGATGTGGTTCCAGGACCCCTAGGAACCAGAGGGGAGGCTGGGATGAGTTGTCCCCTGGAGACCCATCCCTACCACAGTCCCATCTTGAGCTATATCCCCTTTTCCATATCCACCCTTTCTGACCACCACCACCAACCCCATAACAGGAAGTGTGTGAGCAAAGTGCTCACAAATCTGCCTCAGCCCTCAGTCCATTGCTCAGGTACGTGGAGGGCTGGATTGAGCTGTGTCCAGGCCCTTCATGGGAAGAGTGTCGGTGAGAAGAAGAGACTCACACAGATTCTCTGTTCAATTTGCTAGGTGAGCAGGCCTGCCACTGCCAGGACAGTCACAGAGGGTTTGGGGCTGGGAAGGGGCTTTTCCCTGGAGGAGAAGGGGCAGGCATAGGGGCCCAACTCAAACAAGGGTGCCTTGGGAGGGCAGTGTAGAAGGAAAGGCCAAGCTTCTGACTCTGTAACCCAACTGCTTCCCCCCAGTGCCATCTCTTTTATGGTGGGAACCTGGCTGGAGCATGTGCAGGATTTCTGGGAGCCACTGTAATTTCTCTATTTCATGCTGAATCTGACCTATGTACATGTCAATTTGCCTGGCTCAGACCTGGAGGGCCATGCCAACATCTCTGGGTCCAGCTGGAGCATCTAGAGCCCATTGAGGCAGCACCGGAAGGTGATGGGACTGCAGTCTGGGAAGACTATATGTGCTGGGTTCGTGGGCTGGAGTTCCCTTCAAGGCAGTGGAGTCTTTTCTGTCTTCAGAAAGGCACAGGCAAAGTCAGGTATGTAGGTGAAACTTCTCTTTATCCTGCTCCAGGACTGGATCCAGAGATCCCACCAACTCCTGGGCTAGAGCAAGGGCCAGCTCCTGAGCTAGGGCCAGCTCCAGCTGTAGGTCCACCACTTGTACTAGAGTTGGAGCCAAAGTCACCTCCATCAGCCCCTTCAGGGTTGGACCAAGTGCCAACCTCAACTTCAGCCCCAGTGCCAGCTCCTGAGCTGGAGCCAGATGGACCACGGACTCTAATGTGAATTCCACCTCCAGCTGAAGAGATACCAACAGAGCAGGATCCAGCCCCAGATCTTGCCTGTCTCTGGGCCTTGCTCACCAAGAACCTGCTGAGGAAGGAGAAGCCTAATCTCTCAGAGTTCCCTCCCCAGCTGGTGGTAGAACAGTTGACGCTGATGGACATGTTGAGCAGCGGGGCTCTCAGGACAAGTGGGGCCGGCCCTCCCTGTGCCATTAGCTGCCCCAGACCTGCCATTCCCTGATCTGGAATTCGATGATCTGAGTCCAAGTCTCAGCTCCTCTACTTACCAGGCCTTTGACCTGGGCAACTTTCTTAACCCCCAATCCTTTACTGTCCCCACACGGACAGTAGAGATGGACACTGAGAGCACCTGCTGCACAGAGTGGCTGTGCAGATGAATGAGGTGGAACAGAGAGGATGTTGGGCAGAGTCTGGCCCTTTGGCAGGGGAAGGGAGTTCACTGAAGTGCTGCCAGGTCCTTGGGTGGCTCACCCATTTGCCCAGAAGGCCTCGACAGCCTCAGCACTTATTAGGCACCTGATGTGTACTTGACTACCTGGGAAACAAACAAACAGAGCCAGTGGTTGTTGCTGCCTCAGGGGACCATGCATCTGAAAGGGGAGTCAGACCCAAGGAGAGTTCAGAATGAGGGGAAGATGCCCCTTGAGTTGGGCAGGTGAAAACTGGGTTCTGGTGCTTGAAGGAAGTGAGACTGGGCTGGGAGTAAATGCCTCTTCCCTTCCCCACAGTATTGTGTCCTGGGTCATCCTATGATGGGCACCCTCAGTGGACATACACAAAACCCAGGGACATCCACAAGCCTCAGGCCACATCCGCAGCTTCCTGAGCTCTAGTTCTGATTACTGACCCTGCTTGGGACTGTGGGGGACTGTGGACTCTGAGCTGGGGTGCAGCAGGTCTAGGTGACACTTGCTAACCTCTCAGGAGCTGTTCAAGGCTGTGATGCCCTGCCTCTGCCTGCACATCATCTGCTTCCGGTGGGATGTCAGGGAAAATGAGTACCTGGTGCTCACCATCCATGCCACCGTCACACACTTCAACAATGGGGCAACTGCATCATCACCACCTGCCTCGAGGACCCGAGCACAATGGCCCAGGACAGGGCCTGGGTGGTAGAGCTCTGGATCCATGTGGCCAAAGTGAATCATAGGAGGCCCAGGGAGTCCCTCTCTGGAGTCGTGGGAACTGCTTCCCCTTTCTCAGCTCTCAGGATTGAAGTCTGTGCTCTAAGCCCCTGCACAGTCCCTATGCCCCTCCTGCCAGGCCCACTCTGACCTTGACTCCCAGTCCCAGTGGTGGCAAGCTCACTTCCTTCCTGGGCTCCTTCCTTGGGTTGAACTAAAATCCTCTTGCCTGGGAGTGTTATTCATCAGGTCCCTGGCGTGCCCTCCCTGGGTTTCCCAAGCACTTGTCTCATCCAGGACAGGAGAAGCCCAGGAGGGGACAGAAGCTGGAGGAAGCAGGGCTCCAGCTCCCCCTCACAGCTCATTCCCTTCCATTCCCCAAGAATGCAGAATCCTCAGGAATTTCTCCTCACACAGTAGTCTCTGCAGAGCCCCTCAATTCACCATCTGAAGAAGACATGGGGACAACTTTTCAGGTGAGTCTCAGTCTCCCCAACTGTCATCAGAGATGGTTGGGCTACAAGGTCTCTGGCCTCAGCTCCCCTGCCCTCCCTGCTCTGGATCCCAGAGCCTGGCCCAGGTCCAAGTCCTGTTTATGGAAGTGCCTGCCTCCTGGTGGTAGTGCAACATGAGAAGCAGTGGGAATGCAGGTTAGTTGTGGGCTAAAGGGGCTGTTTCTGATGGACTTTGGCTGTCTGTCTTCTAGAACGATGTGGTCAACTTCCAGAAGTGGGGTGGAGTAAGCAGCTGTGACCTAACTGTGGGGAAGGTGGGAGTGTAAATCAGAGACTTCCCTGGGCAAGACCCTCTGTGACCCCATCCCTTGGGTCTTACATTTGATTGGGAAAATTGGATACACAGAGCTGGGGATCCCATCACATTGGTAGGTGGGGGAAGGCACTAGCATCAAGGACACCTTCCTGGAGAAGAAGCTATTTCAACCCAACTGTGAGAACAGGCAAGTCCTGGATGGAATTGGAGGGAAGGAGGGTTCCTACGTGAGCAAACACCACAGACCAGCTCCTTAACCCTCTCCCCACCCCCTACAAAGCCCTTGCAGGGTCCCCCACCCAAGCCCTGTCTGCATCCTGTCCTTCCTCTGTTCCCACAATTCAAGGTAATTGAAGACACCCCGCTGCTCCAGGAGGCTGCAAATCAATACAACATCAAGCCAAGGAGCAATTTGGGGCCTGGTTCCAGGCCATGGAGCCCCTAAGGGAGGATGAGAAGTGAGTCAGGGCAGGAATTGGGTGTGGGCATGGCAGACTCTTTCTAATGGCCAGCTCCAGAGCCCATGGCTGTGGTTCCCTGGTCAGCTACAGACCTTCTTGCATGGTGACACCTGAGTCACTGCGACTCCAGCTGCCGGCAGGCTCTAGGATGGACAACTGAGGTGTGGCTCCTGGTGGCTCACAGCTCCACTCTGTCCTGTAGATACAGCCTGTCCTGCCAGCTGGAGCCCCCATTCCAGTGGGCTAGCAAGGTGCAAATATTCTTCAAGGCCAAGAAGAATCAGCAATCTTCCAGCTCCAGAGCTGGGCTTATTTCCTACCTTCTGACACACAATGTCTTACCAATAAGACTAGAAGGGTTGTTACTCCTTGCTGACTTGATGGAATCAGCATCCCCGCATGGATCCTGTCACCTGGACAGTGCAATTCCCTGCTTCCATTGAGTTACAGCTTCCTAAACACTTTCCTAATACAGTTTCCTAAATATTTCCTAAATATGGACAGGCAGTGGCCCCTTCTATTTGTTTATACTCACTCTCTGCTCACTTTTCTGCTGTGTCTTTTGTGTTTTCTTAATGATTTGAAGATTTTTTTTAATTTTTTATTTATTTTTTAAAATTAATTAATTAATTAATTTTTCCCCCAAAGCCCCAGTAGATAGTTGTATGTCATAGCTGCACATCCTTCTAGTTGCTGTATGTGGGACACGGCCTCAGCATGGCCAGAGAAGTGGTTCCTCGGTGCGCGCCCGGGATCCGAACCTGGGCCGCCAGCAGCGGAGCACGCGCACTTAACCACTAAACCACGGGGCCGGCCTGAAGATTTTTTTTTTTTTTTAAGATGTTCTATAAAATAATACTTTATTGGTTCCTTTCTATTGTAAATATTTCCTCCTATTCTGGCCCTTGTATTTTATTATCTATTTTTAACTTATTGATATATATTAATAAGTTAATTCTCAATATCAAGTTTATATCCAGCATCCTTTCTAAGATTCACTTTTTCATTGTAGTAATTGGTAGATGATGGTGAATTTCCCGTTCATGCAACGGTACCGTCCACGTCTACTGGCAGTTTGATTTCTTGCTTGTTGATCCTTATGCCTTTTATTTTATTTTACTGTGTTAATGCTCTGATTCCCCTTCCAGTGGCATGTTGAAGAAGTTAGTGATAGCAGGCATCTTTCTCTGGTTTTCATCCCAGGGGAAAAAGCTTTCAATAATTCTGTATTAAGTATGATGTTTGCTATAGGTTCATTTTAAACAATCAATCAAATGAAATTGCCTACTTTTACCATTTTAAGAGTTTTTTTAATGAATCAATATTGAATTTTATTAAATTATGTTTTACATTGATTCTAGATGATGATATAATTTTCTCTTTTACTTTTCTGCTAATGGGATGGTCTCTGTGATTTAATTTTGAATGCTAAACCACCCTTGTCATTTTTTAGTATATCCCACTTAGTAGTGATGTATTGTATTTTCACACATGCTGAATTCATAGAATAATATTTTGCTTAGAATATTTATATCTGTGTTTATGAAAGAGATGACCTCTAATTTTATTTTCCCCTAATGACCTGGTCAAATTGTGGTATCACTTTTATGCTGGCCTCATAAAATAAACTGAAAAGTATTTCCCCTTTTCCTCCTCTTTGGGAGAGTTTGGAAAATCTAGGTGATTTTTTTTCCTTCCTTATGTTTGGAATCTTTCAGTAGTCTGGGTCAGGAGTTTTCCTTGGCAAAGTTTTTGTTGTTGTTGATTGGTTATTGATTTGAGTTTTAAATAATTAATCCACTTTATTCAATAGAGAAGTTTTCCCATTTTATGTTTTTTCCTGTGTGTGTCAGTTTCGATAAGTTGTTTTTTTGAATGTGGTCCATTTTGATCTCTGTTGTGAAATTTTTATCATAAATATTTCATAAAATCTGCTTAGTATGTTGTTAATGTCTGTGGGTCTTGTAGAGGATGCCCATGTTTTGATTCCTGATATTGGTAATTTGGTTTCTTCTTTTTCTTTTCTTTTTCCCATCTGTTTTGCGAGGGGTTTACTAATTTTATTAATATCAACAAAACAACTTTTAGCATTGTTGATTTGCTTCTATTGTATTTTTCTATGCCATTGATTTCTGCTCTTAATTTTACTGTTGCCTTAATCTTATATTCTTCCAGTTTGATAGCTGTTTTTTAGTTCTTGGGAAGGAAGCTGAGATTAATGATATCAGTCTTTCTTCTATTCTAATTTACTCATTGAAGGCTATAAATTCACCTCTAAGCACTGATTTAGCTGGCATCCCATGTCTACACTGGTGTATTTCCAAACCCTGTGCCTGCTTCTATGATAGAAGTGTGTATAGACTAGATTAAGTACACCAAAGAAACAGTGGTCAAGTTTAGGTATGGACAAAGACTCCCTCAAGGTGTTTTACCGTGTCTTGTAAATTGAAAAAGCATGCTTTTAATAATTAAAGAATGATCAAATGCAGTAAGATTCTGAGAATCCTATATACTAGCTCAAAAATATTGTGGCCCCAGGAGGGGCAATGTATACAATGGCAGGGCATGAAGGACCAGTCTAGAACTCTGGCCATACAGCGTAGGAGCTTAGAGCAGGAGAGGTGGAGACAGAACGCCTCCTGCAACTCTGGGTTTGCCGTTTACTATGTTGGCAAGCTTAGTCAACATCCTTGTGCTTCAGTTTCCTCATAGGTAAAATGTTTTCTGTAAAGAGTAAATGATTTTATATTTATATGTAATCACAGAAGATTGATTTGTTAATCAGAGCCTGTTCTTCTCAAAAACAGTCACTCAGGGACACAGAGGAGGAAGAATAAGCCACTGCAGACAGTTGTTTCGAACAGGCACCTGGGAAGGTGGATACACAAGCCCACCGTTCCCTGGGTTGGCCAGGGCGGGCAGAGGGGCATGGACCTCCCAACACACGGATTCCGCGGTGCGGAGAAAAGAGGGGACACCTGCCAAGGGGCCAGGACAGGTAGAGGGCCGGGTTCGCTGTAGGGGGACGTCGGAGCCCAGCCGGGGGAGGGGCGGGAGCTGCTCGGCAGGCGGGAGGACGACGGGGCCGGGTTGGGGAAGGTGGGGAGGAGCTGGGCAGGGCGGGGTCTCGGGACCAGGCCCCGAAATACGGGAGGACTGCCCGCTTTATCGACCACTGCAGGACCGGGTCCACGAGGAGAGGAAAAGGGTGGGGCCGCTCAGGCCACGCCTCGGGCAGACACCCGCCCCTGCCCCACCTGTGGCCCGCCTCCTCCCCGGGGCCTGCCCAGCCACGCCCAGGCCCCCCGCCATGTCCAAGGGTCCGTCTCCGCCCCCATTCGTGGCCCCGCAGCCTCCGCCAGAGCCGTCCCACACCAGGCCACGCCCCCTCCAGTGAACCCCCGCCCTAGCCCCACTCCGTTCCATTTATGGCCCCGCCACGCCTTGGGCTCCGCCCCTGCACTGGCCCCGCCTACGACCAGCGGACCCCCCCTGGCCCTCTGAGGGCCACCGACCAACCCGCTGAAGACCCCGCCTCCTCCAGTGAACCCCCGCCCTAGCCCCACTCCGTTCCATTTACGGCCGCGCCACGCCTTGGGCTCCGCCCCTGCACTGGCCCCACCTACGACCAGTGACCATCCCATGGCCCTCTGAGGGCCACCGACCAACCCGCTGAAGACCCCGCCTCCTCCCCGCCACAATTGTCAGTCCCGCCCCGGATCCCCTTTGGTACCTCCCCGCCCCCGCCCCCTTGACGCTCATTGGTTTCTTTCTGATTGAGCGGGGGCGGGGCCAGAAGCTCTGTGCGCCGCGGGATTGGTCAACAGCGCAGAGGGGGCGGGCTCGCGCCTGGGGAGCCGCAGCCACCGCCTCAGTCGCGTCAGTGCCTCAGACTCCGTCTTCTCGGGCTCCGCTGCTATCTCGATGGCGTCGGACTCTGCAGCTGCCAACCCCACTGCCCCGTCCCCACCCCATCAGCTCCGCTCCGGCCTCCCGCCGGCCCCCCGAGGGCACGCCCTCTGCCACGGGACAGGTGAGTGGTTGGGGGCGGGGCTGGGGACGGGGCGGGGGTCAGGGGTGGAGCTGAGATGGGGGCCAGGCTTCGGATGGGGGGTCAGGGCAGGGGCCGTGGGCTTGGGCTGGAGTCCAGGGTCAAAAAGTTGTTGGAAAGTCAGCCTTTTGTTTTTTTGTTGTTCCCGTAAGTCATGTGCTTTACTTTGCGCGATTTTAAGATGTTCTGCCTCGGTACCTGTGCCCGTGCATGCAGACGTGCACGTGCGTGTGTTTTCTATCTGTCCTACTGGAGACTCAGAGAACTTTTTGAATGGTGCATTGAGGCTTTCATCAGGTTTGGGAAATTCTCAGCTGTTATTCATTCAAATGCTGCTATTCCCCATTCTTTTTCCCTCTCTTTCTGGTTACACAGATGTGAGACTTGTTGACCGTATCCCACATCTTTCTTGTGCTCTGTACTTTGTTTTCATTCTTTTTTTATATTTTCTTCTCTCTGAACTTCAATTTCAGATCCAAATATCTGAAAGTTTGGATATTTTGTATTGGACCTGTCTGAGTTTTTCTAATTATTTCTTCACATCTGGCTGCTTTACTTTTAAGGCACCCAGTAACTTTTTTTTTTGCTGAGGAAGATTTGCCCTGAGCTAACATCTGTTACCAATCTTCCTCTTTTTTTCTTTTTATGTGAGCTGCTGCCCCAGCAGGGCCACTGACAGACAGTGGTGTGGGTCTGCACCCAGGAACCATACCCCCGGCCACTGGAGTGGAGCACACATAACTTAACCACTAGACCCCCAGGGCTGACCCCCAATAACTTCTTAATTGCAGATATCATATTTTTCAATGATAGAATGTCCATTTGATTACTTTTCTACAGATTCCAAGACTGTTGAAATTTTTCATGTTTTCATCCATTAATTTCTCTTCCTGTTTTTAAACGTATTGATCATTCTTTCTTATCAAACTTATTGAGGAATTATTTACATAAAATAAATGACATCCATTTAAGGTGTACGATTTGATGAGTTTGACAGTTGTGTACAGCCGTGAGACAGAGCATTTCCATCACCCCCCAAAAAATTCCTTGTGTCCCTTTGCAGTCCATTCCTTGCTCTTCCTCTGGGCTTCAGGAAAACACAGACATATTTTTGTCATTTTAGAGTAGTTTGCATTTTGTATTAATGTAGTCATGCCCTGTGTGCTCTTTTTCTCTCTGTCTTCTTTCCCTCAGTGTGATAATTTTGAGATTCATCCGTGTTGTGAGTATCAGCACAATCTTGAATAGCAATGGTGAGAGTGGACATCCTTGCCTGTTGCTGGTCTTGGGAGAAATGTGTTCAATATTTCACCTTAAGCGTGAAGTTAGCTAAAGATCTTTTGTAGGTGCCCTTGATTAGGTTGAGAAAATTCGTGTCTGTTCCTAGTTTGCTGAGAATTTTTATTAGCAGTGGGTGCTGAATTTTGTCAAATGTTTTTCTGCCTCTGTGGAGAAGATCATCTGGTTTTTCTATTTTATTCTGTTAATATGGTTAATTATATTGAATGATCTTGAATGTTAAACCAACCTGGCATTCTTGTGATAAACCTCATTTGGTTGTGATGTTTATTCCTTTAAAATATTTCTGGGTTTGATTTGAGCATGGTTTAAGGATTTTAGTGCCTAGTTACATGAGGGATATTGGTCTATAGGTTTGTTTTCTTATAATGTCTTCATCAGGTTTTGGTATAAAAATCATAAAATGGTCTCATAAAATGAGACCTCATTTTGTAGAATCAGTATTATTTCTTTCTTAAATGTTTGGTAGAATTTACCAGTGTAACTCTCTGAGCTTAGAGTTTTTAACTAGGAACTCAATTTATGTAATAGATATGGGCCTATGCAGGTTATCTGTTTCTTCTTGAATGAGCTTTGGGAGTTGTCTTTCAAGGAATTTTACCAGTTCTTCTAAGTTGTTGAATTTGTTGGCTAAAGTTGTGTGGGATATTCTCTTATTATACTTTTATTTTCTGTAAGACCTGTAGAGATAATTCCTCTTTCATCCTTAATATTTATGATTTATGCCCTCTTTATTTTTTTATCTTGATCATTCTGGATATGAGTTTATACATTTGCGCATGTTGTTGATCTTTTCAAGGAACCTCTTTTAGCTTGATTATTTTTCTCCGTGTCTCTTTTAAATGTTGTTGATTTCTGCTCCTTCTTATTTGTTTCCTTCAACTTCCTTTGGGTTTACTTTGCTCTTTTTTTTAGCTCCTTGAAGTGGAATCACATATCTTACACATATTTTGTTAAATTTATCTCCTCAAATGTTTCATGTTTTTGGATGCTATTATAAATAATAGTTTTAAAATATTTTCATTTCTAATTTTTAGCCGGTATATAGTAGTAAAGTTTATTTTTGCATACTGAACTTATATGTTCAACTTAGCTAAAGTTACTTAGTAGTTTTAAGAACATCTTTCCCCATGATCTTGTCATCTGCAAATGAGGATGGTTTTGCTTACTCCTTTCCAACATGTATGCCTTTTATTTGTTTTTCCCACCTTATTTTCTGGGACCTCCACTATAATATTGATTAGAAGTGGTGAGAGTGGATCTTCTTGCCCTGTTTTTTATTTTCAGAGGAAAGCGTTCAGTCATTCATCACTACTTATAGCGTTAACTGTACATTTTTCATAGATCCCTTTATCAGCTTGTGGAAATTTCCTCCTTTTTCTTGTTTTCTAAATTTTTTTTTGAGGACGAGTGTCCCTGAGCTAACATCTGTGCCAGTCTTCCTCTGCTTTGTGCGTGGGATGCTGCCACAGCATGGCTTGATGAGCAGTATGTAGGTCGGTGTCTGGGATCCAAACCCTTGAACCCTGGGCCACCAAAGTGGAGTGCATGAACTTAACCACTATGCCATGGGGCTGGCCCCTCTTGTTTTCTAAATTTTAAGTTTATCATGAATGTGTGTTGAATTTTGTCAAATGATTTTCTGCATTTGTTGAGGTAATGATAGGTTATTTTTCCTTTGTTCTGTTAATATTTTGAATTGCACTTATTGAATTTTGAATGTTAAACCAAACTTGCATTCCTAGGTTGAACCCCACTTGATCCTAAATGGATTATCTTTTTCCTCTATCTATCTATTTATCTTCCTGAGTTTGACATGCAGTCACTTTTTAAAGGAGTTTTACATCTATGATCACAAGGGAAATTGTTCAATAGTTGTCTTTTCTTATAGTCTTAGTTGTCTTTTCTTATAGCTTGGTTTTGTGATGGAATAAGTGTATTGGGCCCTGTTTCCTCCTCCAAGTTATGAAAGAGTGTGTGTCAGATTATATTCTTTTTTTTCTTAAATTTTGGATAGATTTCATTCAGGCCTCAAGTATTCCTTGTGGGAAGAATTTTAATTAAGAATTTATTTTTTTAAAACTTTTCATATTTTTGTGTCCTAAGTCAATTTTAGTAATTTATGTTTTGTAAGGTATTGATTTTTTTCTAAGTTATCAAGTTCAGTAATATAAAGTTTCTATCTATACTGCATCATTATCCTTTTCATTATTTTAAGATCTCTAATGATGTCTCTCCCTTCACTAATGAGATTTGTACCTTGTCTCTTTTCTCTTTTTTCTTGATCAGTCTAGCTAGTGGTTTGTCAATTTTATTGACTTTTTCAAATATATAGATTTTGCTTTCATTGATTTTTCTGTATTGTCTGTTTTTCCTTTTATGATTTTTATTCTTAACTTTAGTATTTTCTTCCTTCTTACTTGGGATATATTTTGCTGAGTTTTTTCCTAATTTCTTAAGGTAGAAGCTAAGATAATTGATTTTGGACTTCTTTTCTCTTCTGATATTAGCATTTAGATCTACAAATTTCCCTCTAAGACCAGCTTTAGGTGTATCATATTTTTTAAACTTTTTATTTTGAAATAATTATAGACTCACAGGAAGTTGCAAAAATAACATAAAGAATCTTGAGTGCTCTTCAGCCACTTTCCCCCAGTGCAG